AATAGTAGCAGTAGTAATAGTAGTAGTAGTAGTAGTAGTAGTAGTAGTAGTAGTAGTAGTGGTAGTAGTCGTGGTAGTAGTAGTAGTAGTAGTAGTCGTCGTCGTCGTCGTCGTAGTCACACCACAGAAACAGACACCGGCGACTGTCTTGCACACGAACAAGACCGAGAAAAGTCGTCATCATCAGCCAGAGCCATCAGCATCATCAGCAACAAAGCAGCAAGAATCAGAGGCATGTCGGGTATAGGATTTGTAGTTTAGGGCTTTCGGGGTTCAGGGTTTAGAGTTTGGGGCTTGCGTTGTGTTGCGTTTGGTGTTGTAGATTTCATCGGTAAGTTTTTGGATTTTAGGAGTTCCTAAACCCTAAACCCCTAGACCCTAAACCCCTAATCCCTAAACCCCAAACCCTAAACCCCTAAACCCCAAACCCTAAACCCCTAAACCCTGAACCCCAAACCCCCAAACCCTGCACCCTCAGACTGCCTCCACGGTCGGCTCCACGAACTGGGGCCTCGCCCGAAAGCAGAGTCAACCAATCCCCCATGGCCCCGAGTTTTAGAGTTTAGGGTTATAGGGTTTTAGGGTTCAGGGTTCAGGGTTTAGGGTTTTAGGGTTTTAGGGTTTTAGGGTTTTAGGGTTAGGGGTTTAGGGGGTTAGGGGTTTAAGGTTCTAGGGTTTTAGGGTTTTAGGGTTTTAGGGTTTAGGGTTTAGGGTTATGGCCCCGAGCTTTAGAATACTATATTAAGGGTTTCTTATTCTAGTTATAGTAGAGTATACCCCAAGACCCTATTCTAGTTATTGAGGCCCCTATATTAGGTTTCGGGAGTAGGGTAAGGGATTGTAGGGCTTATAGGGCTTGGGGTTGGGGTTTGCGGTATGGGGTTTAGGGTTCAGGAGTTAGGGTTCGGGGCCCCTAAGTTCGAACCCAAGTTCTCAGTTCGCTCAATCATTCTACTGAACACTCTCGAGATCTATCTAGAGCATGCGGCCCAAACTACCGGAGGCTAAATCCGACTTCGTTCATGCGTGCCACCAGGTCCAAAGCAGAGTTCAGGTTATGGACATCCGACGCAAAACTTGGCCACTTAAAGAATCGAATGCTGATCATGTTCGGTATGAGAACCTCAACCCCTGAACTCTCAACCCTAAATCCTGAACCCTAAATAATAAACCCTAAATCCTAAACCCCAAACCAAAATCTTAAACCCTAAGCCTAATTAAACCCCAAACCCGAGGCCCTAGACCTCAAAGGCTACTGCCCTCCAGAAGCGACAGGATTGGCCCATTGGGTTTTGGGGTTCACTGGTGCGAGAACTTAGTTCAAGATATCTCATAGGGAATCTTAGGGGGGGAAAGGGTATAGGGTTTAGGGTTTAGGATTTAGGGTTTCGGGTTCATATAGTCATAGGGACCCTTAGGGGGCAAGGCGGCGAGGGGTAAGGGACTATACTTCCTGAAATAGGCCTTATGAGGTCCTTATTACAGGTAATAAGGCCCCCTACCCCACTCCCCCTGCCCCCCCCCTCATAAAGGTCCTTGTGAATGTCGTGGTATGGATACACAACAAAGCATATTTCCTTAGCCATACAAAATCAGCAACTCCATGTAATGTCTTGCACCACCCTAGAACACAACAGATGAAACAACGCGAGAGGAGCCTAGTCATGCCTCTCTCGTCGCTCACCTACCTGCCTGCCTGGCTGCCTGCTGACCTGCCGACCTACCTATCTACCTGCCTGCCTACCTGCCACCTGCCCTACCTGCCACCAATCAACCAACCAACCAGCCTGCCTCCTACCTACCTACCTCCCTCCCTCCCTCCCTCCCTCCCTCCCTACCTACCTACCTACCTACCTACCTTCCTACCTACCTACCTACCTACCTACCTACCTACCTACCTACCTACCTACCTACCTACCTCCGTGCATACATACACACAAACATAATGACATAGTAATATGACAGACAGACAGACAGCCAGCCAGCCAGCCAGCCAGCCAGGCAGGCAGGCAGGCAGGCAGGCAGACAGACAGACATGCAGACAAACAGTCATGCAGACTGACAGGCTGGCACGCAGGCAAACAAGCAGTCGGCCGACACAACTGCAGAAAGGTAAAGAATCTTCTTCGGGAAAGTCTTAACCTCTGCTGTGTTTGCTGCGGAAGCCCCCAGAGGAGTCCTGCCGCCGAAGCAAGTGGTAATCAGATCCTGGGCAGCATGATATCTGTGGGCCAATGCAGGCCAAGGCACAACTCTTCGAAACCCTCAACTCTTAACAATCAAAAAAGATGCTGTATGGAACGACATCGTGAGCTTTGCTCCTTTTTTGCGACAACATGCGCTATTCAGATATCCCTTCTGCAAAACGGCTCCTTCGTCGCATCGTAACTACAACAGCAGCCATACCTGGACCAAAATAACCCACGTTTTTAAGTCTCCTTACGATTATTTCTATGTATAAAGCCCTGAAAAAGCTTGGTTGTTTGGGGTTAAGGCGGTTCAGGTATACCCTAAAAACCCCTTATAGAACCCTTACAGATCCCTTTGAAGGACCCTTTAAGGAACCCTAAACCCTAAACCCTAAACCCCTTTAAAAGTTATCAAGCAAGGAAAGGGCAGGAAGGAAGTAGTCATGGGGGCTCGGCTGCAACGCCGCAGCTTTCCAGGAAGGTGGCATCCTTCACCTGTCAGAAGTTACGAGGCACTTAGGGCTTAGGGAAGAGGGGTTTAGGGGTTTAGGTGTTAGGGTTTAGGTTTAAAGTTTAGGGCTTTGGGGATTTAGGGGTTAGGGTTT